TAATTATCGAGTAAAAAGTTTTGAATGCTAAAGTGCACAGAAACTGTTAATCTCCCTATTTCCTATGAGACAGTAACGTATGTTAATTGCATGTAAAGCAATGTATAAATATAATTCATGTCAACTGAATATATAATTACTAATACAACAACATAAAATATAGATAGTAAGGGACCATTTTTTTTGTATAAAAATGACCCTACATAACATGACTACACCATACGAGAAGAAATTACAATTTCAAGCCACTGTTTCTCAGGATATCACTACTGCCAATGGCAAATTATTTCATAAGCTAATCACCAGCAAAAAAAAAAACTTATCCAGAATTTAGACAGTTTTTCGAAACTCTAAGTTATGTATCCTCTTCTTTTGTCTTCAGAACACAACATAAACAAATCAGGTTTGTTTTTTTATCCTACTGTTCCGCTGAATAATCTTTTTAAAATATACATCCTTAATGTAAATAAGAACCAGGTGTGTAAGAGAGGAATTGATGAACTTCTGAAAAATAAAGTATGGGTGTAAAAGAACAGTCTTGAAGGACGAAATGGTTCCTTCTCGTCCACAAGTTAAAATTCTATTAGCTTTACTACTAGCTACAGTATGGACTTAAGTCCTGGTGGTTCAATTAACACAATACTGTTGTTAAATAAGTTGAGGATTTCAGGGTTAAGTTGATTTCTTAATGCTCAGAACTGGTAAGTGTGTAACTCCCAATACAACAAATTAGACTAATTTACACAGTATTGACTACTATATTAAAAATAACTTACAGTATATATATACATTATGAACATTATTTATTAAAATTAGTGTCAAACATGTAAAAAACAGAATATGTGGTCAGCTTCTTACCATATCATCTGTACATCTATATACCGGTCTTCCTTCCACTGCAGATTGACAATTTAACAACATGACACTCACTCTACCAATATCTTCTTCTGTCATAGTTCCACAAGACTTCTTTAAATGCATAATTACCTACCAGTAAATGAAAGAAGAAACTATAATTCTAAAACATGACTCCTCGGCTACAAGCTACAACAATTTTGACAATAGCTTTTTATACAGAGTGTGAAAAAATACATAGTGATAGCTTACAATGAGAAATTTTTAAGTCGCATGAAAGATGGTGATTTGAGTTGGAAAAATAATAAGTCAGTCAGAGCAAATATGACACTTTGAAATTAAAAACCTTAAAAATTGATTGCCAGTTTTGGGCAAAATTATTCAGAAGAGTTTGAACTTAAGTAAATTTTTTTGTTGCGGTGACTACAGGTAAACAAGGTATGAAAAAATGAGAGGTCATTTAGTCCATCAAGTTCAAGTCATCCAAAATGAAAGTAAAATGTTAAAAATTTAATTCTATCTAATTATTGAAAACAGATTAAATATAGACAAAAATGTTTAAATCCTGCTATAACTTAAGAAGTTTGTGTATTTCTCCTCTAATTCATCTTAGGCTTTTACATTTGGACCTGTAAAATATGATTTAATCAACTAGAAATGATTATGAATGTATCAAGAAGTAATTTCTTTTTAAAGTGCATACATTAAAATAACTCCAATGATGGATAAATATAAATCAATCAATGGGGGTGGCCACAGGGGGTAATGATGGGGTTATTCCAGTTTCCTCTTTCATTACATGGAGTATACATACAGTCAAACATTACGGACATATTTAGGACAAAAAACAGAAACACTGTTTATATTTATAACTAGTAAAACATTACTTATGCAATTGCATTTCATTTTCAAATTCCATCAATCATTTGATGGATTTCTTTTTCACACATTGTATAAAAATACTTTCAACATAGACACAGTTATATTAAGTCAAGTTACTTATTGATTTTTGACAAAAACAAACAAAAATGGAAAATAAAATGTTAATTAAATAATCAAGCCAAGTGGTAAGAATAATTTTACTATTAAGTATTTCAATCTTTCTATTGCCACTAGTTGAAATATTTGTTGCCACGTTTTATAATGAATGTAAGTTTGTTACCTCACAACTTGCTATAAGCATATAATAAAGAAAACTGTTTTCCTTTCACAAATGCATCTCTTAATGAGATTGCAAAAACGTACGCAGCAACATAGTACCAATATACCAACCTTAACAAGTTTCTGCATACATACTAACATAGCCACAAATCCCGGTAAGTATGTAGCTATAGATAATACGAAACAATAAACCTTCTCTATAAAATCATTAAATGAGTCACATAAATGATTTGTTAACTTTCATAGCACACTCACCCTGCATCGCACGGGTACATTTGCTTGTAATTAAAATTATCAGAAAAGATCATATCATTATCAGGCAAACAAGTTTATTTAAGATTAATAATAATTTTAACCAAGAAATGGTGATTTTACAAAATAATGGGAGTTTCGAATTTTAAAATATGTTTAAGTCACAAAATTTGCACACACACACACAAAAAAGAGCTATACATAACAATTGTATTAATTTCGGCAAAACCGAGTCAAGTTTGAGCTTGCAGAACACGCAGTGACGCCAAATGACCTTCGATTCACGTGCTGTAACTTGCGAACCTCTTTTGTTTAGGCATCAGTGTCACTGGCATTAAACGACGATCACATAAACTTTTGTTTTGGAATAAGAACTTCACAGAAAATACTGCTTAGGTACTTTTATATATAACATTGTTTTCATACTTTCTTACCTTATGATTACACACATCTAAACCTGACAGTTGCAAACCATATTTTTGTGCCTCTGCAAGAAACTTTTCGTCAGTTGTTTTCATCTCGAAAGGGACCGGTATCGCGCGACCAACTTCGTTTCCTTCATTTTCAAAATTGCCGCTAGGATCTTTTAAAACAGACGAAACCTGTTCTCCTGATGAGCCAAATAACCAACTAAGCACTCCAGCATTACACAAAGTTAATTGGTGAATAAAGATTAATGAAAAAACAGCAAAACACTTTAAACTATTCATCTTCGACCACTAGTAACCTACATTACAGGAACACTAACAATGCTCTTCCTTTCAAATCGTACAGTGGTTTAAAAGCAGCGCATCTAACAAAACGAGCAATTGTGATTGGCCAAAAATGATCTAAAATTAATAATAACAAAGTATAAAAAAAAGTGAGCCCACCAAGTCAGATTTATGACATTTCACCAATATTTTAGAGTTTGTAATTAAAAGTAAGGAATCTTAAAGCACTTTAAATCTGATGTAAACTAATTCTGAAGTAAATTAATACAAATTAAATACATATTACTTTTAAAGAAATATATTTCTTTATTAATATGAAGTAATGATTTTTTTTGTATTATTGGTTTTCGGAAAGAGAAGGGGTTTGCAAGCAGATTTTCAGAATAATAATTGCAATCTGGAACGAAATAACCCGTACCATAGTTTTCTCTCTCAAATTCTCTTACAACCTACGCTAATTACAATACAAACTGTATGCAACCTAATTCTAAATAAAATTATAAGTGGAAGCAAAGAATAATGTAAAACAATATGCCAAATTCTTCTGAGAACTCTTTAACTTCCAGTAAATGTGCTATTCTATATTTACAGACTCGTCATTTTGATCGTGTTTTATGAAATAGTTGGTTTGTTTGGTTGTTATTATTAAGCACAAAGCCCCAGACTTTCTGCTCAACCAACGGGGGATGGGGTGATAACTGAATAAAGATTATTTTCACACTGTTTCACATTGTGTCATCTTCTAACGAAGAAACAGTTTGTATGAAAGTACCACATATGCAAACATTAAATATAACATGTAATTTTTGAATAAAATTTATAAGATAGAAGAAGCTAGTAGTAGCATTGTTAAATTTGAAGGAAATATTATCAAATCAATCTGATATTGTCAACATATTTAAAAGCCAGACAAAATGTATTTTCAATTAAATTATTCATTTATAAAAAGTTTGTTTGTATTTAAGCACAAAGTTGCACAATGGGCTATTTATATTTACCGCGTTAGGGCTGATAAGCAGGGCCGGATTAAAGCCTTCGTAGGCTCTAGGCACCTTCAGGATATTGGACCCTCAACCAACATTTAGTTACTTTTGTATATATGTATGTATATTATATTCCCTTCTTCTTCTTGCAGGTAAATAGCTGAAACATGTCGGATGGTTATCGAAGAAAACATGAATCTGGGCATGCCAAAAGAAAGCAAAGTGGATCCATGGAAGAAGAGATACGAAAACAGCAAGGCTCAATGTTAAAATGTTTAAAAAGGACGACGCAACAACTGACAGTTCTGGAACTTCAAGAAGTAGAAGACAGGACATCTCTATCTCTGAGACTGATGATGTAGCAGCATCTTCCTGTTTTCAACAGGAATGCGGTGTTCAAGAAGACTGTTCTCCACCTGAACCACGACCACCCGTGTCGACCGTGTGTGAGGAGGAGCAATGCAAAAGCAGTGATCCTGCTAAATGGGAAGTGAATGCAAATTTACTAACATATTATGCAGATCACAAAACTTGGATGCATACTTTGACAAAAGTAGTCGACAGTTTGGTGACAAAAAACGATTTGTGCAAAAAGAATACTCCTACAGTCACATGGCAAATGGTGAGATTATTAGACGTGACTGGTTGACCTATTCGCCTTCAACTGAAAGAGTGTTTTGTTATGTGTGCAAACTATTTTCTAATGACAAGCATCCCAATCAATTTAAAACAGGATTTGATGATTGGAAGAACGCCATTGCCAGAATATACTCACATGAACAGGGAAAATATCACTTACATGCACTCTCTAACAAGTTGCAGCATCAGAAAGCTACTAGAATAGATGCAGAGATGGAAAATACCAAATAAAATGCATGTAGATACTGGTTTGAAGTTCTAAAAAGAATTGTAGCTGTTGTGAAATTTCTTTCTGAGAGAGACTTAGCCTTTGGAGGTGACAATGAAATCATTGGCAGTCCAAAGAATGGGAACTTTTTGGGGTGCATTGAATTATTGGCTGAATCTGATCCTTTTCTTCGTGAATATGTTGAAAAATTAAAAAATCCTGGAAAAGGATATGTGTTCTACCTCTCTTCGACCATTTGTGATGAATTTATAGACATGTTGGGATTAAAAGTTAAGGAACACATTATTACAGAAATCAAAGAGTCGAAGTACTACGGTGTAAGCATTGATTCCACACTGGATATTAGCAACACTGATCAACTTATTGTAATACTTCGATATGTGCTCTCTGATGGAAAAGTTCTGGAAAGATTTGTGCAATTCATCCCTATTGAGAGACATGATGGCAAGTACCTTTTTGATGTATTGACCAAATTTTTTCAACAAAGTGGAATAGATTTTGCATGGAGCAGATCACAATCTTATGACAATGCAAGCAACATAAGCGGAATATACTCCGGTGTGCAAACAAGATTAAAAGAAATCAACAAGTTAGCAGAGTGGATACCATGTGCAGCCCATAGTCTAAATTTGGTAGTATCTGTTGCTGTAGAAAGTTGCACAACGGCTGTAAGCTTTTTTGGTGTTCTACAGTCCATATACAATTTCTTTTCGGCTTCACCACAGAGATGGAGTATACTTACTGAAAGTCTCAAAACCAAAAGAATTACATATGTAATTCACAGTATATCAGAAACACGATGGTCTGCAAAAAGTGATGCCGTGACAGCCCTGTTCATGAACTACTCAGAGATTAGACAGAGTCTGATCAGTGTTGCAGAACGTACTGGACAACCTTCTTCGGCTGTTCATAAAGCTAAATCCCTTGCCAAAAAACCTGATACATTTGAAACTGCATTAATGTGCACTATCTGGAACGAGTTACTTAAAAACTCAAACATAGCCAATAAAGCTATTCAAGAACCTGGAACTGAGTTGATCACAGTCGTGAAATGTATGACAGCCTTCTGGCATACTTCTCAGAGATCCGTAACAAATTTAACAGTTTTGAAAAAACGGCCAAGGAATTTTCTGAAAGTGACTACAAAGAGAAGATGGGGACTGTACGCAAACGTGTGAGGAAACATTTTTTTGATGAAGGAGCCAGGGATGGCACAGTCTAAATCATGAGTGCGAGTGACAGATTTCAAACACAAACATTTTATCCTATTGCAGACAAGCTCATTGTTGAGATGGGTAGACGTCGAGAAGCATATTCCATGTTGTACGACAGATTTAGCTTCCTGGTTGGCAAATCACTGTCCCGGTATGCATGTATCTTGAAAGCCAGGAATCTGGTAAAGACTTGTTTCAGTGATTTGGAGGAATCCTTTGTTGATGAATTTTTGTTATTCTCAAACATGTACCCGGAAAAGAAAACTGTTAATGAAATGCTGAAGCAACTAATCAACAATGGACTAATAACCAGTTTCCTAATGTCCAC